CTTTCTTGAAATGAAAATATAATATTCTTTCATATTTGGTTTATTCTCTCCTTTTTAGGACTCTTTTTCTAGTAAGAAAAGGTTTTAGGACTCTATAAATATAGGTTTGTTTCTTCTAACACAAAAACAATAACATCCACAATGTAGACATTTAAAGAATTTAGTTTACGGGGAGATTTTATTCTCTCAACAGTTTCAATGATTTTCTTTATATTAGTTTTCATATAATAATATTTTGATTTTTAGTATACGTTTTTGTTATCTAATTTATCGCTCATGATTTACAAATTGTAAGCTTCCGCATGACGCCCTAATCACCCTTCATAACCCAACAGGTCTCCCCCTACTTTTTATTTTTTAACTTAAAAGTCATTTCAGTGTGACTTTTAATTTTTCACTTAAAAACAATTTTTTTTAAAGTCAACCCAAACAGGCTAGAAGCACTTAGCTTGTGTCAAGATGTGTCAATAATTGTATATATATTTATTAAACTAAAATTTGTCCTCCATATACAGTGCAATTTTTTGACAAAGGTGTCTCTTGACACCCATTTGACAAAGGTGGGTCCGCCACTGGGTACAAACCTTCATTTGGAAATCTTATATAAATTAAAATTATTAATTATTTGGATCAGAATACGTGCATTTTACTAATATATTTGTAGTATGTATCTTATTCATGCACCTAATTTCATTAGTTGTATCTCGTGTTTTTAAATTATGAACAATCAAATATTTTTTTTCATATATGTGTATCTGATACTTACTTCATGACTTTGATGGATTAATTATGTACCAGCTACATGTAGCATATAACAGATATATGTATTTATAATTTGTTATCTATCCAATCATTCGATATTGATCTTTTCAGTGAAATTTGAATCGATAAATGTATGTTTTGACTTTTGTGGGCCTTGATTATCGCTTGCTACGCCAGCAATGAATTTGTGAAATTCTATAGTATATATGGAACATCTTTAGCAACCTTCAGAGTTATGTTCCCTAATGCCTAGAGTTGTCAATATGGGTTGGCCCACTCCATTCGGGCCAATCCATACAAGCTTTGAAATTTGACAGGCCAGGTCGGGCTAGCCCATTTTTTGTGTGGGCCAGAAAATGGTTGGCCCAACCCCCAAATACGTGGGCTACAGGCATTGTCGGACCAACCTTTTTTTCTTAAAAGTATATTTTTTATAATTTTTTAAATTAAATTATAATTTAAAAATATTATCATAAATATCGACAAAACAATAGTAAATGGTGTTAGTGTACTACTTGTTAGTTAAATACACAAATAAAATTATCTTTATAATATTTATTAAGTTTGATTTCAAGTAAAAGCATAAATAGCTAAATAGAAATATTAAGCTAAAATAGCTAGATAGAAATATTAAGCTAAAATAAAATTATCTTTATAATATTTATTAAGTTTGATTTCAAGTAAAAGCATAAATAGCTAAATAGAAATATTAAGCTAAAATAGCTAGAAAATTTTATTTTATGTAGTACATATTTTATAAACATAATTTGTATTTAAATTGCAATATTTCAAACTTTAAATAGATTTTGAGTAGACCCTTCTTATTTTTAATACTCTATTTTATTTTTATTTTTAACTAATTTTTATGGGAAAATTTTCAAAATGTCAATATTTTGACATTTAATAGGTTTCCTTAGCCACACTTTCAATATTTATCTAAAATGTCAATATTTTAGTTTGTTTTGTATTTGATTTATGTATTTTTTATTTGTTTGATTTTCAAGATTACAATTATTTAGAAAGGAGAAAATCAAGGGAGATAATATTTTTGGAAAAAGGAACATATCACTTAAAATTCTCATCACTTACACTTTAAAAAAAAAATCCCTTTTTCATTCGATTGGATAAACTTTCCTTTTTATTATGTTTTCATTATAACTGTATACCAATAATTTTTACATTTTATGTGCTCACTTTATCATTCAAATTAAAATTGATTTTTTTACTTTCATAATGAAAACTACAAATTATTTTTTAGTGATCAAAATTGTATTACATGTCTGCCAAATATATTTTTCTTTTATTTGTATTACAAAAATATTACTGATTGTATCTCAATATATAAAATCTAATCATTACATATGAATATGATTTATGAAAGGATACAAGATTCTGGAAAAAAATAGCATACATGGTGGAAATAATACAAAGTGTTGAGGAAGAATATAATATTCTAAGAAAATAAATACAAATTGACTATGAAACAAATAGGGATACAAGATTCTGAAAAACAAATAGCATATATAGTGAAAATAATACAATCTATTGAGAAATGATACAATATTCTAAAAAAATAATACAAATTGACTGTTAAAAAATAGGATACATCTATGCTTAAGAAATACAAATCCATTTGACATACCTATTTGAATGACTACAAACTAAAAAAGAAATACAATGTTCTTAATAAAAATACAAATGATGAGTAAAAGAAAAACAATTGACAAACAAAAATTAATATGAATACAATTTTGCAACGTTCTTCTCTGACTCTCTCTTTCTTCTTCGTCTGCTATGTTCCTTTTTTCCGATTTTTTTCACCAAACCCAAATCTAAATCTGTATTCACTTGTGCATTAGTAACTCTATAAGCAAAATTCAAAATTATTAAATATGAATATATAAAAAAAATCAAACAATATATTATGTATGAATGCTAATGCAGATTACTACAAATTACAATCTACTAATTTGTGATTCTGAAAACAAAATCTCATGAAATCTCGCAAAATAAATGATGACTTCGAAAACACCTTTATAAATTGAGAGGTTTTTTGAATTAATTGATAGATCCGAACAAATTGGTATGAACTTGAATAATTAGTTCTTCTTCAACAATGAGGGAGAGAATAATGGTGAAAATTTGATGAAAGAGAAAAAATGAAAAAACGTGAATGATGGGGACAATGGTGAAAACTGAAAAGTTGATGAAAGAGAAAAATTTGAAAACGTGAAAGATGGAAAATAAATTTAATGGTATTAAAGCCTAGGAAGAAGTGTAAATGGGTAGTGAATGTATTTCATGTTGGACTGTTTTGAGAAATAAAAGGAAAGACAAATAATTGTATTTAGATATAAATTATTTTCTAAAATATTGATATTTTGACATTTTAAATAATTATTTTAAAATATAGATATTTTTACTTATTAAATTACTTTTACTTGCCATTTCCTGCTTGTGTGGTAGTAGTGATTTCACCTTGTTTTAGTGGTAGTGGTTTAGAGATTGACCCTGGAGTGGAGTCTGTGCTAATTTTTCCAATTTTTATTTGGCCCACAGGCCAGTCCTATGCATATTTCTCAAGCTCCACAAATCGACTGACTTATTCAGACCGGGCTAAAAAGCCCTTTTCTTAAATTGACTCCAAAAATGATAGTCAATCCTATCAAGTCACGGGATAAGCCAGGCCAGCCCAACGGGACTAGGCCATATTGACGGCTCTACTAATGCCTTGTCAACTGAAGTCCAATGGCTGGGCATTTCGGAGCATAAAACACAATGACGAGTTGGACTACCAGCGATCCATTAAATATCAATATAAATCTTATATTATAAAAAAATGATAATAACCAAACAAAAATTTAATTTCTTCCATACGTTTATGTTAATAGTGATACATACAACTAATAAATGATCCTTAGATGAATAAATAAATGATAAGTTGAAAAATATAGAGGAAGTAAATGATGATGTATGTTGAGCAAACAAGTGGCAAGCAAATTATCCAAAGAGTGAAGTTGGGGCCCCACACGAAGGGTAGTTTTTTCATCATCTCACTTTAATAGACACTAATCAATAATGACAAAATGTCTGCACAGACAAAATATAGCATTTTACCATTTTAGTCCTATTAATTATGAAGTTGATGAATTAAAAATTTAAGATTTTCAAGAAGTTTTATCTTTTTTAAAGTAATTAATTGAGAATATAATACGTATAAAAACGTCCTTTCTTGATTTATCAAAATAGGTAAGTAATTAAGGATAACTATAAAAAAAAAGTGAACAAATAATTAGGGACAAAGAAAGCAATAAATCATAACAATCATATTGTAAAAATTACTATATTAATATTGTAAAGTTTCTTCCACTATATAAAGTGCAATACATTTCATTTTGTTAACTTTCATACGATGTAACTACCTACTTTCTTTCCCAAAACGTAATGCTCACCACAACAGATGAAGAAAGGGTTACATATCTTATCATAGAGATGGTAATGATATTTGAATAATATTTAATTATGACGTGAAAATATGTAATACCCATTTCTATTCGATGTAAAAATAATTAACTGAATCACAAATTTAACACTAATTTTATTAAAAACTTGAATTCAACAGAACAGTAAATAAATATACAATGATAAACTTAAGATGTATGCATAAAAATGGAGGGAGTAAAGAACTTATATTGAAGTGAATTTTCTTATTCGAAAAGAGTGTCACTATCATACAAATTGAGAATTATGGATGCTTTTTTTTAAAAAAAAAAATCAATAAAGAAGAAATTGTACAACTTTTTGCCTTTCTTTCTCCTGTTGCAATTTCTACCGTGGCTACAGCCTACAGCGCTTATACTACAGTACATTTTTTTTTATGTATTGCCACAAAACGCGGAGCCTCTTTAACCTCTTGAGCTTCTTGCACCCATCCACAAATTAAATTTGTGTTTTTCAAAGATATTTGAATTTTTATGACTATGTTTCATAGTGAAATTTGATAAAAGTAATTTTTATTTTCAAAATGAAAATAATTGGCTATAAGTATAAATTAGATTTATTTCTTATTTTGCATGAGTAATTTGGAATGCAAAAACAAATTTTGAATGTTTTTTAATTCTTGAAAATTTTGAAATTCCAACTTCAAATGGAATTCCGTTCAAATCCTAAAAGAAAAGGCAAAAACAAAAAAAAAACCCGCGAATCTTATAATGAGCGGGTATTTTGTGTGCTCATCTATGGAGCATCTTCTTCATCAAGCTTCAGAGGTATGTGCCGTAATGCCCTGTCAACTGGACTGGTATCAACTGAACTGCAATGGCTGGGCATTTTGGAGCATAAAACAAGACGATGAGTTGCAGTACCAGCGATCGATTTCCCCTATCATGTGTGAGTTCAGTTGTGAATATCAAACTATTTTTGCTTCACTTGTTAGTTTTTTGTTTTGAATCTTATCTTCATGATCCAGCTGCTGCTGCTGCTGATTCTGTTGTTTCCAGTTCTGTAATGGTGAAATTGAGGATCAAATCTGTTCTTGAGAAAATGTGGAGTCCACATATATCTCTGGTTCAATTTTGGGCACCCATCAAGGTCAACGGATCGAATTTCCTGTCCACTGCAGATCAACTATTTGTTTTCAGTAAGGAACTTGATAAGAGGTTGTGTTCATACAGGAGGTTCTGTCTCAATACTTTGATTCCAATTGACGAGTACAAGGAAGGTCTACTTGGACGAGTTTCCACAAGTTGCTCGCCAGAATGTAACCCCAACCTCCCAAGTTACTCCGCTGCAGAGTTTCCACTGCTTCAAAGTGGAATTCGATTGGGAATCCATTCTTATTATGCAATTCCAGTGTTCAACCTCTATGATCAGCGGTACCTTGGTGTACTTGAGATTGTATCTACAAAATCAGCTCTACGTCTTCCCCAACTTATTAAGGTATTTGCTCATCTCTTCTTTTATTTTATTTTTAGAATGCTCGAATGTTGAATAGCAGCAGTTTTTCGATTGCTTTCTGGCTGCTATCCTTTTTTGAATCTACTAGCATGGGATTTTCTCTCTCTTCTAACGCTCAACTTAGAATGTCTTCTTACCCACCCCCTGAGACACCTCCAGCCTGCGACCAGTAATTTCAAGAGACAGCAGCGCCAATGCGTGTAGGAGAGTACAAATCGTTTTCGTCTAGAACAACAACAACAACAACACATTGATATCTACTGCCTTCACACAGGTTCTACCTGCTGAAGTTGGTACCTCTGGTTGCACTGGTCGATTCTTTATATTCGACCCTAGTAGATATATATATTGCTGCTTGCTCTTGTGTTTCTGTATCACAAATTTATATTTAGTATTAGTGGTTGGCTGAGTCTAAATATTAGTGGTTGACTGATTCATGCTTATAGTTTCATCTTTGATTTTATTTCATTATTTCTTGTACTTGGTTTTCTCTAATTAGAGTAGTACACGGGCCATTGTTACTTAGATTTACAACTAGTTACTAGTCTGCCTCTTGCTGGTTGGTTCCATTTGCTGTCTGGCTTTCTTGTCTGCTCTCTAGTTTTCAGATTTTAGTTCTTCTTAGAATCTTGTGCGGTATTACTTTTACTTGCCATTTCCTGCTTGTGTGGTAGTAGTGATTTCACCTTGTTTTAGTGGTAGTGGTTTAGAGATTGACCCTGGAGTGGAGTCTGGGTTCAGGTTGAGAAGGACCAAGATTAAATACTTGGAGTGCAACTTTAATGATGTGACACATGAAGCTAATGTGGAAGTTAGACTTGATACATAGGTCATCCAAAAGAGAAGTAGTTTTAAGTATCTTGGGTGGATTATCTAGGGAAATCGAGAGATTGAAGGTGGAGGGAATGAAGGCTCGCATTTGGAGTCTTTGTGATAAGAAGGTGCCACATGGACTCAGAGGGAAGTTCTAGAGAGTGGTAGTTAGACCAGTTATGTTGTATGGTGTAGAATGTTGGCCAATCAAGAATCTCACATTCAGAAGATGAAAGTGACATAGATGAGGATGTTGCAATGTATGTGTGGGTATATACTATGAGAGATATAATTTAAAATGAGGATATCCTAGAAAAGTTGGGGGTGACTTCGGCAGAAGACATGATGGGGGAAGCGAGGTTGAGATGGTTCGGGCATGTGATGAGGAGATGCATGGATGCCCCAGTGCGGAGGTGTGAGAGGTTGGTTATGGATGTTTTCATAAAAGGTAGAGGTAGACCAAAGAAGTACTAGGAGAGGTGATTAGATAGGATATGACACAATTACAGCTTATTGAGGACATAACCTTAGATAGGAAGGCGTAGAAGACACAAATTAGAGTAGAAGGTTAGTAGGTTGGAGAATGTGCATACTAGTAGTTAAGAGTGTTTGTTGCCCTACTGAGTAGTCATAGGACTGCTCTCTTGTTCTCCGATTTCTATGACTATTTGTTATTTCATGTAGTTTGTTTGTTTTTAGTAGTCTTTCTGTTGTAGTACTATTATGTTCCTATCTATTGTTTTGTTACTATCTTTTGTCTATTGTACTTTCATTATGTCTTTTCCTAGCCTGCTTTTTCCTTGAGCCGAGGGTCTATAAAAAACAACCTCTTTATCTCACCTTGAGGTTGAGGTAAGGTCTGTGTACACTCTACCCTCCCCAAACCCCATTGTATGGGACTACACTAGATATGTTGTTGTATGAGGCTTACCTTAAATATATTCTGGCTAGAATGATCACTTTATGTCTTCATCATGATATATGTAGGAGTTGGGCCATAGACTTGAAATCAACACCTTCTTGGAAGATAGATGAGGTTGAAGGCATGGTCATATGCTTGAATTTAGACAAAAAACAAGTGTGCCACCCATTCTTTTGGTTGTGCGAATGCATGTCTAAATTGTTGGATTTCAACCAAAGGACATTGGTTAATTACTTTTGTTTATATTCTGTATTTACTGTTTGAAGAAGTCGATAATCCTTGTTTGTTTTTCCATCATAGGGGTTGAATTCCAAATCATTTGGGTTGTATAGCATTTGTAACTCAAGGGACATGCTTTATGGACTTTCAGAGGTATGGTGTTGTTGTTTTTTTAATTTTTGTGTAACCAGGCAATATAAATAATGTTAGAAATTGAGATATTTCTAGATGTCTTTTGTGTAATTGTTATTTTCTTAAATATTATGTTAAGTATGTAAGGGAAAGGTAGTCCTTGTTTTATGGAATATATTTTGTAAGAAAGTCAATAGTAGTTAGATATGTATGGTCCTCTACTAACTTTGGAAAAGCTTATGTAGATATATGTGTGTATGCCTTTCTTAAAAGCTGAATATGAATGGAAATTTCTGCTGCTGAACCTTATTTTTTTTTCTCTAAAAGTTTCAAATCCTAATAGTGGTATCAAGAGCCCTTCTTCTTGAGGGATCTGTGAAGGCAAGAAGGCTAAGGTTTTTTCTTCTTCTAAGGTGAGAGCTGAGCAGCAGTAACATGGCATCCGACAGCTTCTTAGGTGCAGACCCTCCTATGTTTACAGGAGAAAATTATCACATATGGGTGATAAAGATGAAGGCTTATCTCAAAGCTCTTAGTCTATGGGAAACAATTGAAACTGAAGATGATCCTCTTCCACTTGGACCAAATCCAACAGTTGCACAAATGAAGATTTATGAAGATGCGAAGTCAAGAAAACCCAAGGCTCTCAGATGTCTTCATTCAGCACTTTCAGATGTGATTTTCACAAGAATAATGGCTTGTGAAACACCTAAAGAAGTATGGGAGAAGCTAAAAGAGGAGTTCGATGGAAGTGACAGAGTGAAGACTGTCAAACTCTTAACTCTCAAAAGAGAATTTGAGATGTTAAGGATGAACGAAGGAGATACTGTGAAAAAGTATTCTGCCAAACTTGTGGAGATTGTAAACAAAGTAAGGCTGTTTGGTGAAACCTTTCCAGATTCAAGGGTGGTGGAGAAGATGATGATAAGCTTACCAGCAAGGTTTGAGTCCAAGATTTCAGCAATAGAAGAATCTTGTGATTTGAAGACTTTATCTGTGGCAGAACTGATCAGCAAGCTGCAAGCCCAAGAACAAATATCAAGTATAAGAGATGAAGAAGTAGCAGAAGCGGCATTTCAAGCACAACATAAAGGCAAACGGCCTATGAAGGACAATAGAAGGATGGAATGAGATAAATTAGAAAAGGGAAAACCAAGGAAGGAATCTTCGAAGAGAGGGAAGTTTCCACCTTGCAGCCACTGTAAAAGAACCAATATTTATCAAGAAAAAGACTGCTGGTTCAAAGGAAAGCCACCGATTCAATGTAGATTTTGTAGAAAGATGGATCATATTGAGAAAAATTGTAGGGCCAGGCAGAATCAACCACAACAAAACCATGTGCAACAGGCAAATTTTGTTAAAAAGTCTAAAAATGAAGAAGAAAGCTTGTTTATGGCTTCTCATGAAGAAAACACAACCAACAAATCCTCATGGTGCATAGATAGTAGATGTACGAGTCATATGTCACACAATGAGCTCATGTTTCATACACTTGACAAGTCAATCAAAACTAAAGTAAGGATGGGAAATGGTGAGACGGTAGATGCACTTGGAAAGGGTTCAGTTGCCTTTCAAACTACACAAGGTACAAAGTTTATACATGATGTGTTGTATGTTCCTTCTTTAGCATGCAACTTGTTAAGTGTGGCTCAAATGATGTCTGAAGGCTATTCCTTATTTTTTAAGGACAAACATTGTTTGATTTTTGACTCCGAAGATAGTTTGATTGTTAAAGTAAGAATGGTGGATAAAACTTTTCCTTTAGATGGGAGGTTTGATAGTGCAAATTTTGCAAGTAAAGATGAGTCATGGTTGTGGCACAAAAGATATGGTCATTTTAACTATGCCACTTTAAAGTCTATGTATGAAAAGGGCTTGACTAAGGATTTACCTGAGATTTCACTGTCTAAAGAAGTTTGTGAGTCATGTCAGATGGGTAAGGTACACATGAAATCATTTCCTAAAAGTGCTACCTGGAGGGCAATTGAAAAACTTGAACTAGTTCACATTGATGTGTGTGGACCTATGCAGGCATCATCTTTGGGACACAATAAATATTTTGTGCTCTTTATTGATGACTTAACAAGGATGACTTGGGTGTATTTTCTGAGTAACAAGTTTCAAGAAATTTAGAGCTTTTGCGGAAAGACAAAGTGGTTGTAAGCTAAAGGCTTTGAGGTCGGACAATGGTGGTGAATACACTTCAAATGAGTTCAATAAGTATTGTGAAGATATAGGGATTGATCACAAGTTAACAGTAAGCTATTCGCCCAAACAAAATGGAGTCTCGGAGAGGAAGAACAGAACAGTAGTAGAAATGGCAAGATGCTTGTTACTGGAAAAGAAATTGCCACAAAGCTTTTGGGCAGAAGCTATTCATACATCAGTGTATTTGTTAAATAGGCTGCCAACAAAAGCTGTGGATGAAAAGACTCTTATTGAGGCATGGAGTGGAATACAACCATCTGCCAAGCATCTAAAAGTTTTTGGTTCGATATGCTATTCTCATGTTCCTTCTGTCAAAAGAAGCAAACTTGAACCAAAAGGTGAATTGGGGATCTTTATTGGTTATTCATCACAAGTAAAGGGTTATAGAGTTTTCAACTTGCAAACAAAAAGTATTTCAATCCGAAGAGATGTAGTCATGGATTAGCATGCTTATTGGAACTGGGATAAAGAGCAAATTGAGAGAGATAATGCAATTTTTCAGAACTAGAGTCCACTGCCTGAAATCCAATCATTTGGGTCTGAAACTCTGGAAGAAGACGAAGAATCAGACGGGGAATCCTCACTTGATTCGCCAATTTTGAAGACAAGGTCTCTTTCTGAGATATATGAAAGAAGTAATGTTGCAATCTCGAAACCAAATAGCTATCAAGAAACATCAAGACATGAAGTTTGGATTGAAGCCATGAAGGAGGAGATTGGTATGATAGAAAAGAATGATACTTCGAAGTTGGTTGATAAACCCAAAAAAAGAAATGTGATCGGGGTAAAGTGGGTTTATAGAACCAAACTTAATCCAGATAGCCCAGTTTATAAATACAAAAGCAAGGCTTGTTGTGAAAGGTTATGCGCAAGTTGAAGGTCTGGATTATGGGGACACGTTTACACCTGTTGCACGACATGATACAATAAGGCTGATATTTGCTTTGGCAGCTCAATCAAATTGGAAGCTGTACCATTTGGATGTGAAATCTGCATTCTTAAATCGACTGTTTCAGGAGGAGATATATGTTGATCAACTAGAAGGCTTTCAAGTTGCAGGAATGGAGGATAAAGTCTACCGACTTCATAAGACATTGTATGGATTAAAGCAGGCTCCTCGAGCATGGTACAGTTAGATTGATGATCATCTCATTCATTGTGGCTTCAAGAGAAGTGAAAATGAAGCCACTTTATATGTGAAGTAGGCTAAAGGAGGAGATGTGTTTGTGGTATCACTCTATGTTGATGATCTTCTGGTAATAGGAAGCAATAAAGCAATGGTGAATCAGTTCATGCAAGAAATGGAGACCAAGTTTGAAATGTCAGATTTGGGTGAAATGAGTTACTTTCTGGGAATGGAGATTCATCAAGCTATTGCTGGAATCTTTATTTCTCAGAGAAAATATGCATAGGACATTCTTAAAAGGTTCAAGATGTAAAGGGTGCAAGTCTGTACCGACTCCACTGGTTCACAATGAAAAGATTTCGAAGTTTGAAGGAGGTGACAGGGTTGATCCAACTGTTTATAGAAGTTTGATTGGTAGTTTGCTGTATTTGACAGCAACAAGACCCGATCTCATGTTCGCGGCAAGTCTACTGTCGAGGTTTATGCAAGCTCCAAGTCAAGTTCATCTTAGTGTTGCTAAACGAACGTTCAGATATATCAAAGGAACTTCTGATTATGGTATTTGGTTTAAAAGGGAATAGCAAGGGCAACTGATGGGTTATTCAGATAGTGATTGGGCAGGAAGCGTTAATGATATGAAAAGCACTTCTGGATATGCTTTTACACTTGGTTCAGGCATGTTCTCATGGAATTCAAAGAAGCAAGAGGTGGTAGCTCAATCTTCCGCAGAAGCAGAATACATCGCCGCTGCTGGTGCAACTAATCATGCTTTATGGTTAAGAAAGATTCTACGTGATCTGGAGCAAAATGACATTGAAGCTACTGTCATTAAGGTTGACAACAAGTCAGCAATATCTATGGCCAAAAATCCAGTGCAACATGGTCGTAGCTAGCATATAAATGTAAAGTTTCACGCTATCAAGCAAGCAGAGAAAGATGGCGAAGTTCAACTTGTTCATTGCAACTCAGATCAGAAGATTGCAGACATCATGACCAAGGCTCTTCCTAAGGGGAAATTTGAAGTTCTAAGGGCTAAGTTGGGAGTATCCAAGAAAAATTTCAAGGAGGAGTGTTAGAAAATGAGATATTTCTAGATGTCTTTTGTTTAATTGTTATTTTCTTAAATATTATGTTAAGTATGTAAAGGAAAGGTAGTCCTTGTTTTATGGAATATGTTTTGTAAGAAAGTCAATAGTAGTTGGATATGTATGGTCCTCTACTAACTTTGGAAAAGCTTATGTAGATATATGTGTGTATGCCTTTTTTAAAAGCTGAATATGAATGGAAATTTCTGCTGCTGAACCTTATTTTTTTTCTCTAAAAGTTTCAAATCTTAACAGTGGTATCAAGAGCCCTTCTTCTTGAGGGATCTGTGAAGGCAAGAAGGCTAAGGTTTTTTCTTCTTCTCCTAGTTATCGGTGTGAAGCGCGCCACATCTATAATTGGGAGGATACGACATTTAGGAATATTTCTCACTTCTTTCGCTCTCATCTCGTGCGTTAGAGTTTATCTCTAAAGAGTTTCTTTTAATTCATGCTTGCGCGTGTTTCAGATAGTTATGCCTCCACGAAGAGTTGGCAGAGGGCGTCTTCCTAGACGCTATGTTGATGAGCAAGAGTTACCTTATGCCCCGGGAGTGCAAGATCAAGGGAAAGTTTCTAATGTCGAGTTCAGAGAGGTAATTAGAATTCTGAGTCAAGCTGTAATTAATCAGATTGGTCAACAAAGGGGAGCTCGACATGAATGAGCTGACACTTCAAGGATTCGTGAGCTTTTAGGGATGAATCCTCCGAGTTTCATGGGTTCGAGCACTACTGAGGATCCAGAGAACTTCATTGAGGAGTTGAGGAAGATTTTTGATGTGATGCATATGACAGATATTGAGCGGGTTGAACAAGCGGCGTATCAGTTGAAGGATGTCGCTAGAATTTGGTTCAACTAGTGGAAAGGGGGAAGAGTTGAGAATGCACCACCTGCGAGTTGGGCCGATTTTGAGGAAGCCTTCTTGGGGCATTTCTTTCCTCGAGAATTGAGAGAGGCCAAGGTACGTGAGTTCCTCACACTTAAGTAGGATTCTTTGAGTGTCCAAGAGTACAGTCTGAAGTTCACACAACTATCCCGCTATGCTCCGGAGATGGTTGCGGACATGAGGAATAGAATAAGTTTATTTGTTGCTGGGTTGTCTCGGTTGTTGAGTAAGGAAGGTAGGGCTGCAATGCTTATCGGGGACATGGACATATCAGGGTTGATGGTCTATGTACAACAGGTTGAGGAAGAGAAGCTGAGAGACAGAGAAGAGTTCAGAAATAAGATAGCTAAGACCGGTAATGAGTCCGGGCAGCAGAAAGGTAATTCAAACCGTCCATCCTTTCAGCAAAGGCAAAAGGGACTTGCTCCATCATCTATTAGAGCACCTGCACCCAGATACAAAGGGGAAATTAATGGCCAGAATTCGAAGGACTTTAAGGCTAGACCAGCACAGTCCTCAGGTAGTGTGGCACAGGGAGGTAGTTTGTTTCCTACATGTGCTAGGTGTGGTAGAACCCACCCGGGTAAATGTCGTGATGGCCAGATAGGTTGTTTTAAGTGTGGGCAAGAGGGTCACTTTATGAAGGAGTGCCCTAAGAATAAGTAAAGTAGTGGAAATTTGGGTAGTAGGTCCCAATCTTCTTCAGGTGCTCCCCCAGACAGGACGACACCTAGAGGAGCTACTCTTAGTACCGACGGAGGAGCAAAACGCCTATATGCAATCACCAGTCGCCATGAGCAAGAGAACTCTCCTAATGTTGTCACTGGT